TGATCTTGAGTTGAATGAAGCTTACATTAGTCGTGACTCACATAAGGGGCAAACATATGGTACTTAGAGCCGGTCTTGTGACTTTTCTTTTTGAGAGATGAGTGAATTCCCATTAACCTCGTAATGAGTGCCATTATTCTCAAGGTGAGGTTTGCTCAGGAAAGCTGAGGATGTGTGAGTTTGGGTTCCACAATGACCAAAGTAATAGAAAGAGTTCTTTGATGTGTTGAGTCAACTCTTGATGCTCTTGTGTCGCACTTAATCCATGATGTTTCAAAGAGTAAAAGTTGTTAATTATTCATTTGTATTGAGGGCAATTGTTAGTCCCAAGTGATGCTGGATGAGGTCACTTTAGGACAGCTGAAATTTTCTTGGAAATTCTCTTAAATGGTGGGTCTTATTTTGTTTGCTTGAGGACAAGCAAAAGCTTAAGTTTGGGGGAGTTGATAACTAGGGATTTTGATACCCTTTTATACTCCTTTTTGCTTATGTTTTGATTAGGAATTTGAACAAAATAGTCCCAGAAGGCTCACAAGTTGTGCTTGATTGCAGGTTTGATCAACAAAGTAACAAGATGTCAAAGATCGACTCAAAAGGAGTGAAACTTGCACAAGTACCAAGACAAGATAAAGCTCAGGCAAAACAAGGCCAGTGCGGCGGCACTACATTCTGTGCGGTCTGCACTGTGAGGTTCAGAGAGCATGACATTCAGGCACAAAGGCAATGCGGCCGCACTAGGATTTGTGCGGTCCGCACTGAGATCAACGCGGCTGCACTCGATTTCGTGCGTTCCGTAGTGAGAAGAATCAGAGATCTGCAAATTCCAAGTGTCAAGCCAATACGGTCCACGCTCCATTTTATGCGGACCGCACTAGAAGCCTCCGCGACCGCAGTCCATTATCTGCAGTCCGCAGCGCCCGAGTTCAGAGAGTTAGATCTTCAAGTCCAGAGCCCTAGTGCAGCCGCACACCATTTTGTGCGGTCTGCACTAACCCCGCAGGGGTATTTTTGTCCAGAATTGTCAGCTTAGTATTAATAACTTCTTTTCCATTTTTTAGGTCAAGCAGATAGATTTAGCTGGTAGCTGCGCTCGTGGGTTTGAATATTTTAACTGTTTTGGGCAATTTTATCTTCATTTCAACATTGAATCTTCTAGTTTATCTTAGCAATTAATTAATATGAGTTGTTTTTCATCTATTTTTTTATTTCTTTCTCTAATTATGAGTAGCTAGACCCATCAGCTAGGGTTGTGGCTCAACCCTAGTGTGGGTAATTGATGGGTCTTGTATTTTAGAGCTTGATTGACTATGGGTGTTTGATATTTGGGCTAGTTCCACGTTTAATTGCTAAATTAGTGATTGCAAAAACTAGTTTGTGTTTAGTTGACTTTTGCTATTCTTGAGAAAGAGAGCCTAAGTCTGTAGAATTATTCCAACAAGGAATTGGGGCGTACTCAAGTGAACTTATAGCCCTAATTAAAGGGTTAAACCGAGAGATCGTAATACCCGACTTGATCCTCAGTTGCTTGTGCAAATTTGCATACCCAATTGGTCTTGAGAAAGTCAATTCGTGAAAAATCACTCGAACTACCGAGAGGTATAGAGTGAGTAGAATAAAGCAATGGGTATATCATACTCCCTAAATGTGTCAATCTAGCTTTAGATTCAAGAACCCGTCAATTGACCACCTAGGCGAAAGTCACTACCCTAGTGCCTTTTTAATCATTTGATCATCTTGCAATAGTTTAATTCTAGCTTATAATAGTTTAATGAGCATTGTAGTTTATAGAATTAGATTCATAATTAAAAACCCAAAATGTGTAGAAGTGCAATTTGGAGCAAATACACAACTCCTCTTTAGATAGACACCCAACTCCAATATCTAGCTCTCTGTGGAATTCGATCCCGACCCAAAATGGGGTAAAAGCTGCTTCGACCTCTCTCGCTACTTAATAGTAGTGCAGGGTTGGCCGTGATCTGTCACGACCCGGATATACAATTTGTTTTCAAATTCGACCCCAAAACAAGGTCTAAATCAAAGGAAATTGAAAAGCCCTAATTCTATCCAATTCCCCCAATTTCCACCCTAATCTATGTGATTTAAGCTTAGAAATTCACTAATTAATGAAATAAAATGAAGGAAATGAGTGGGGATTTACTAACCCAAGTGGTCTTGAAATAATGGGGGCTTCAATGGACTCCTAAAAGCTTGAGGAAGAAGAGAGCTCGTGAGAATTTAAGTTAATCTTGTATGCATTGTTTCTGAACTTGTTTAAAAAAATCACTGGGCGAATTTGTTCTACGCGTTCGCGACATGGGCGGGTCGCGAGCGCGATGCCTTTATGCCCCATTAACTGATCCCACGAACCTCCAAAGTCAATAACACAAGCTCGGAGCATGTCCTCCAATATATGAATAGTTCGCTCAGACTGTACGTCCGTCGTGCCGGAGCAGCTTTTGGACAACAGTAGGAGTTTTGGGAGCTGACTTCAGTCCAGAGACCCCGAGGTAGCCTTTCTGGCGTCCGCATGGCCCGGAGTCTCTTCTATCTTTACTTTAGTTTGTTATCCTTTGTACCGGAACAAACAGAATTACGTTTTTATTCAGACATTATATTTAGCATTCTCTAGACGTTCGTGAGTTTGTGACTCCAGTTCTTGGGTAGAGTTGTATTGAACTTCCGTATTGTTTTCTATTAAATGTTTTGTTGTTTAATTAAATGTCGAGGTTTGCTAAAAGAGATAATAAATAGTTGGCTTGCCTAGCTACTAATAGTAGGCGCCATCACGACTCCCGAGGGTGGGAAATTCGGGTCGTGACATGATCACAATCATGCAATATTGCGTTCATCTCCTCCTCAGGAACACACCTTCGTACCAACTGATCTGCACACTGCTTATATAGGACTTTCTCATCCCACATGTAGAACCTCACATCATGTAGAAATCTTTTTCTATTATCAGGTGTCAAATCTGGTGGTGTCACCCCGCTTGCAAAAAAGTTCACATAATCTGCATACCACGGGGCTTCACTTGAGGTGATTGCTAATAACTGCTCATCGGGAAATGTTTCTTTGATTGACTCTCCTTCAGCTACATGTCTCCGATTTTCTAATCTGGACAAGTGATCAGCCACTTGATTTTCTGTCCCTTTTCGATCTCAGATCTCTAAGTCAAACTCTTACAGGAGGAGGACCCAACGAATCAGCCTTGGCTTGGTGTTTTCTTTTCAAACAAGTTTCTGATAGCTGAATGATCTGTGTAGACGATGAATTTGGTTCCCACTAGATAGGATCTGAACTTGTAAAACGCCCACACCACTGCAAGCAACTCTTTTTCAATAACTGTGTAGTTCATCTGGGCTGGATTCAGAGTTTTACTCGCATAGTAAATGGAGTGAAAGATCTTATTTCTCCTTTGCCCCAAAACAGCTCTGATTGCTATGTCACTCTCATTGCACATCAACTCAAATGGCTGCTCCCAATTTGGAGCAATCCTAATTGGTGCAGTCACCAACCTTCTCTTCAGCTCCTCAAATGCTTTCAGACAGGCATCATCAAACTTGAAGGGGACATCTTTCTCAAGAAGCCTGCACAAAGGAGAAGAGATTTTCAAACAATCTTTAATGAAATGACGATAAAAACTTGCATGGCCCAAGAAACTGCGAATGCCTTTGACGAATGTCGGTGGGGGTAATTTTTCAATCGCCTCCACCTTTGCTTTGTCCACTTGCAAACCATTTTTGGACACCTTGTGCCCCAAAACTATACCTTCACGTACCATGTAATGGCACTTTTCCCAGTTTAGCACTAGGTTCGCCTCTTCACACCTAGAAAACACTTTATCAAGGTTCATTAAACAATTATCAAAAGAACATCCAAACACAGAAAAATCATCCATGAACAATTCCACAAACCTTTCAACCATGTCAGTAAAAATAGCCATCATACACCTTTGAAAAGTCGCAGGTGCATTACAGAGACCAAAGGGCATTCTCTTGAACGCATACGTGCCATAGGGACACGTAAATGTGATTTTCTCTTGGTCCTCTGGGGCTATAGCAATCTGATTATACCTCGAATACACATCTATGAAACAGTAGTATTCCTGGCCAGCTAATCTATCAAGCGTTTGGTCAATAAAGGGGAGGGGAAGTGGTCCTTTCGGGTGGCATTGTTCAATTTTCTATAATCTATGCAAATTCTCCACCCAGTGATAGTTCTTGTGGTAATAAAGTCATTATTTTCATTAACCACTACAGTCATCCCCCCTTTCATAGGTACACATTGGACGGGGCTTACCCATTTGCTATCAGAGATTGGAAATACAATACCTGCATCAAGCCACTTAATCACTTCTTTTCTTACCACCTCTTTCATGATTGGATTTAGTCGGCGTTGTTGCTCTACACTTGGATTGTGTCCGTCCTCCACGAGGATTTTATGCATGCAAAAAGCTGGACTAATGCCTTTAATGTCAGACATCGTCCACCCAATTTCTCATTTGTGCTCACGTAGCACTCTCAACAGCTTTTCTTCCTGCAATTTAGACAAGTCAGAAGAAACAATAACATGTAAAGTGTTAGAATCACCCAAATAAGCATATTGAAGGTGAAGGGGCAGGGGTTTAAGCTCCAATTTGGAGCTTCCTCAATTAACGACTTTGGAGGAGGCCCACTTGGCCTATTCAGGGGCTGAAAGGGGTGTATCCCCTACATGTAAGCACACGATGCATCTAGGATATGCGCCATCTCCTCAACCTCATCATCAATCACCAAGCTATCGAACAACATAAGTGCTTTTTCTAGAGAATCGTCTAGATATACACTCGTGTCAAGAATTTTCTCATCCACCTCCACAATAGATATCATCGAGAGCTCCTCATAGTGGCTGGGAAGTTGGATTGCTTTTTAGACATTAAAGACTGCTTCCTCGTCATCCACCCTCAAAATCATTTTTCCCTCTCTCACTTTAATAATTGCATCACTAGTAGCCAAGAGAGGTCATCCCAATATGATTGGAACCAGCTTATCAGCCTCATAATCTAGGATAATCAAGTGCACAGGGAAGATGAATTTCCCAATTTGCAGCAACACATCTTCAATCACCCCCTTAGGGTGTGCTATGGACATGTCAGCTAGTTGCAACATCACAGTAGTTGGTCTTGGATCTCCCAAGCCCAATTGCTTGAACAAGGAAAGGGCATCAGATTTATGCTTGCCCCCCAAATCATAAAGTGCACGACCCACATCAATATTACCAATTCGCACAGCGATAGTGAAGCTGCCAGGATCCTTGAGCTTTTGAGGAAGCTTGTTTTGGACCCTTGATGTGCACTCCCCAGTAAGTGCAACTGTCTCGAATTCAATCAATCTCCCCTTGTGAGCCACTATATCTTATATGTACTTAGCTCAATCAACCCGGCTGCTTTCTGTTTAATTGCCCTTCGTGAATCCCCATCCCCTATCTAATTATGATCATTAGCAGTGCAGTTATTTAGCAAGAGTTGGATTTCACTATACGGTCACGCCATGCAACTACCCCCACAAGCTGAATCAAGATTCATCTTTGATGCATCATCTAGCCCATCAACAAAAGTGTGACCCAATACCTCATCAGTCTGACAATGATGTGTGCAGTCTCTGAGTAGCTTCTTGTATCTTTCCCAAGCTTGATGAAGTGTCTTGTCATCCCGTTGTTCGAACCTAAGAATCTGACTCCTCAATGACTTTGTCTTCTTAGTGGGGAAAAACTTGATTAAGAATTTCCTTGCTAGATCATCCCAAGTGTGGATTGAGTTTCACGGGCTCCTTTTGCAACCATTCCTTAGCTTCCCCCAGCAGTGAAAAGGGAAATAGTGTCAGCCCGACATAGTCCTTGGAAATGTTCGGATAATTGTAAGTATCCGTAATTTCCAGGAAATTCTGAATGTGCCTCTGCGGGTCTTCATGAGATAGACCCACATATTGCCCTGTAGACTGAATCAGCTGTACCATGTACTATTTGAGTTCACAATGCCCTGTGATCTCAGGCTTCACAATAACTTGAGTCACATTAGCTAGGTTGGGCCTTGCGGCTTCAATCACCGCACGCTCTTCATTACCTGCCATCTCTATTGGCTGTGGTTGAACTACGATGTCCAACTCTCCTTCTATTCTAGTTCTAGCTTCGACTTCCCACCTCACTCTGTGAAGTGTTAGTTCAATTTCAGGATCAAGAGGAAGGAGATTGTTTGCGCTTCTACTCCTCCGCATTCAAGAGAAGAGCATGCGTTAACACAAACAAGGTAAACTAAAAATTAAAACTTGAATAAATAACTAATGAAAGCTCAATTCAGTCAAGTAGGTAATTTCTAGGTCCCCGACGACGGCGACCAAAAACATCACACAAGTGTACGCGATCGTCAAGTAATAAAGTACTGAGTAGAGTATCGTTCCTACGAAGACTTATGATTAACTTTTGACTGATTTAAACTCAATTAACTTATCGATTCAAGAGATTTCTTACAAGCTATAGAACTGACTAATTTACTACCTAAAACTATCAAGCAATGAATTAACTAGAAATCAACCAAAACAAATAGCAATTTCGAATAACAATCAGTAGGAGAGAATATTTCAGGGTCACGGGTTAGTTAACAATCATGTTGCGTTCTTGGCTTAAAATGACTAATTGATTTATCTGGATTGTTGATTAACAGGGTTGATATTACTTATAAGAATCTTTCGAGTCCTTACTCGCCTATTCAAGTTAACTTAATGCCTATATGTTTATGGAATTAAGATTAACAAAAATGCATTTATACTTCCTGTATTTCAACCAAACAAGACAATTAGGTATATTTTTATCCTAATTGCGAATCCGTTCCCCGATACCCAGGTTCAATAACTTGCTCTATTTAATTCTATGTGCAATCTAGAACTCCCACTTTCAAGTTCAATTCTAGATTCGTAGGTAGTATTTCACTGTTAGCTACTCAGCAAAATAATTAAGAGCACAATTAAATAAACAACCCAATATGATAAAATCAACTTTGTCAAATTAAACTTCAAACATCAACATTCATGTTTCACCCATGACCCTAGAACAATAGGGTTCTTAGCCACGCATGCTCATAGTAACAATTTCAAGTAATTCCCAAGAATACATAAGAATCAATAAAAGAAGGAAAAAGTAAGAACTCAAGATGAATTTCGTGGTTCCCAAGCTTTGTCGTGGCTTTCTCTCGCTTCTCAATATGTTAGATGACCTAAAAGAGGCATTTTTGGCTTATATATTGTGTACAAAAGTCGTGGGACAAAGTTCTCCTATTCCTAGTCCGACTCAGCTTCAAGGAGTGATGCTGGGGTGGATGCTTCGCATCCACCTCATCCGCGGCTTCTCAGCTTCGCATGCTAGGGTAGATTCTTCGCATCCACCCTTTGTTCCCCCATCTCAGCTTTGCCCAGTTGCGGATGCTAAGGCGGATGCCATGGTCCGACTTCACTGCTAAGGGTACACGAAATATAATCTTTCTCTAGGTTGGATGCGACGCATCCAACCCCTCCTCTAGAGCACCTTTTCGTCATATTTTTGCACTCCAAACACCCTAAATCATCACATACAACTCCATTAGTCATAAAACCAATAATTAAACCATGTTGGGCCTTTTAAAGATCAAATAGCATCAAAAAGCAGTTAAAACATGAGTGAAGTAATACTATACATATAGAAATATGCCCAACATCACCTACTTTTTTATACGAGCTTGAATAGAACTGTAGATTTTCTTGTTGAGACTGTTGTGTATTTACTTTGGGACTACGGAACGGTATTCCGGGAGATCCCCCTGCATATTTATATATGGGACTACGGGATGGTATCTCGGGAGATCCCCTTGTGCTGGATATTTACTTGGGACTACGAAACGGTATTTTGGGGGATCCCCCTGCATATTTACGATTTGGACTACGGGACGATATCCCCGGAGATACTCTGTACATTTACGTTTTAGACTACGTGTCGTTATCTTGGGAGATCCCCTGTCGCTATCTCTGTGTACTGAGTTATTTCTTTCTGTGATTTCATCTTTATTAACTGTTAGTATTTTAATTATATTGTCACATTTCATACTGTTTTACCTTGTTATATATATAACCAGTAGGGCCCTGACCTGATCTCGTCACTACTCGACCGAGGTTAGGCTTGGCACTTACTAGATACCGCCGTGGTGTACTCATGCCCTTTCTTGCACATGTTTTTGGTGTGCAGATCCAGGTTCTTCTACTCAGCCATACTATCCGTGAGGCGAGGCGATTCAAAGACTTCGAGGTATATCTGCCGCGTTCGCAGACCTAAAAGCCCCTCTCTATTCTCACTTCAGTAATAGACTTCTTGTTTTGTTCCTCGTTTAGACTTTTGGAGTTAGATCACTATGTATTTCTTTTGCTTGTGATTCATGAGATTCTAGATTTTGGGAGTGCTATGGTTAGTTGAGAGTGTTGTTATTGTATATGCCGAGCGGCATTTTAAACTTTTTTCTTATATCACCTATTAATTGTTAGTTTTCGCATCTTTATTTCATTTTCCTCAAATTGTTAGGCTTACCTAGTCGTAGAGACTAGGTGCCGTCACGATAGTTCATGGAGGGAGAACTTGGGTCGTGACATGTGTGCATATTTGTTTTGGAGCCCCGAGGGCTTGGGTGATTTTCGGATAGGCTACAAGTGTTTCGGACTTAGAAATTCTGGTTTTCTTGTACTTCTACTGTTATATGGTGTTTTCTTCTTTGCAACCGCGAAGGTACTCCCGCGATCGCGAAGCGTAATCTTGGATGGGGTTGGATTTCCTTAATCGCGAACGCGATAGCTGGATCGCGAACGCGGAGCAAGGGGGACTTACCCTTTACGAACGCGGCCAGCTTCTCGCGAACGCGTAGGCTTTGGAGCTAGGAAGGGGATCAATGCTTTCTTCTACGCTAACACGAGCATTGGCTCGCGAATTCGATGGTATGGGGGAGCAGCCTTCGCGAACGCGTGAGAGAACTTGCGAACGCGTAGGCCATTTTGACCACTATACATCACGAACGCGGCAGGTCCTTCACGAACACGATGAAGACTTGACGCACAGACCTTAAAATATTTAAAAACGGGATTTCACTCATTTTTCACCATCTTTCCATTAGAGCTCGGCCTAGAAGCAATTTTGATGAGAAAATTCATCACCAATTCATAGGTTAGTATACTTTAACTCATTTTCTTCCATTTGTAACATCACCCATTAATTTCTAGCTTAATCTTTGTTGTTCCATGGTAGAAACTAGGGATTTTGGAAGAATTGGGGGAATTTTTGCGAACTCGGGATTTAGACCTCACTTCGGGGTCGGATTTCGAAACTAATTACATAATTGGGCTTGGGGGTGAATGGGTAAATGAGTTTTGGTCCGAATCTCGGGTTTTGACCAAGCGGGCCCGTGGTTGACTTTTTTTTACTTTTTGGGAAAAGCATAAAAATCCTAGATTTATGTATTGTAATTGATTCCCTTAGCATTATTTGACGTTATCGAGTCGCTTTTGGTTAGATACGACTGGTTTGGAGGCATATTCTAGAATAAAGGCCCCGGTAGAACTCTGAGTTGATTGCGGAGTGAGGTAAGTGTCGTGGTTAACCTGACTTGAGGGATTAAGACTTGTTTGCCTATTTCTACGTGTTTAAATGTTTGGGTATAATGTATATGTGAGGCGACAAATACTTATACGTTGTTGTTGGGTTAAAGCATACGGGTGGAACTTGTTTCCTTGTGATTTACTGCTTTTCATTATGACATCCATGCTTAGATTAGATTATTATTTATTTGATCGTTCTTTCTGAATTTATGATTTAATTGTGATGGTTGAGTATTTGTGGAAGTTGAGGTTTTGAATCTTGGAACTACTATTGATGTAAGGTTTCTTCTTGCATTATCTATCTCCCAAATTTTTATATTCATTACTACATGGTAAGGGGATTGTTAAAGCATGAAGGGTGATGCTGTGCCATTTATTACTTCATTTGTTGATTAATACATAATGAGGAAGAGAGTAAAAGCACGAAGGGTGATGTTGTGCCATATTTATCGTTTCATGGCGAGGTTGAGAGTAAAAGCACGAAGGGTGATGTCATGCTATATTATCGTTTCATGGTGAGGTTGAGAGTAAAAGCACAATGGGTGATGTCGTGTTGTCTTTATGCATTATGTTTATCCGTTTTCATTGGTTGATGATTTATTTGATTGTCTTATGTTGTCATTCCTGTTGTAGTTATCGTATCTTGTTCCTCTTTCGTATGTGCCCTCCTAATTTTACGTATTGAATCTTTATTTATTACTATGTTGCACATATAGCTATGTTGTACAGGTTAAATTACATGAGTGTCCTATCATAGCCTCGTCGCTACCTCGTCGAGGTTAGGCTCGGCACTTACAGAGTACATTGGGTCGGTTATACTCATACCGTATGCACTTCTTGTGCAGATTTTGGTACTGGTCCCAGCTGTACGTGAGGTGTTTTAGTTCGGATTATAAGATTTGGAAACTCAAGGTAGATCTGCTGGCGTCCGCAGACATTGAAGTCCCCTCCCTCTTTCCTCATTTACTGTTCATTTCATCCGAAATAGTTGTATTTATTTCTGTAACGACCCTACCAGTTGTTTTGAGCATTTGCACTTCACTCGGTAGTTTTCGGGCATGAGTAGCTCCACATGATGTATTATGACTTATGTGAATCGTTGATTTTGATTTTCAGATTAATCGGAATTGATTTGGAAGAATGATTCTCAACTAAAAGCTTTAAATTTGAAAGGTTTGACCATGTTTGACTTTTCAGTATATGACCTCGGATTAGGTTTTTGATGGTTCCGTTAGCTCGGTTGGGGATTTTGGACTTAGGAGCGCGTCCAGATCATGATTTTGAGGTCCGTAGTAGAATTTGGCTTGAAATGGCGAAAGTTAGAATTTTGGAAAGTTTGACCGGGAGTGGAC